TCAGCACGTGTATTTTTTTAGGATAATCGTCTGCGGAGTGTCTATGGGATAAATATAAAAACCGCGCATTACTGCCGAACTAGCTAGCTTTACAATGACACCCGTGTCTACGCCTTTGCAACTTCCGACCTTTTTGACGAGCATAAGTTTGTCTTGTTACACAAAAAGAGTTAGACATAAAGACAAATTTTAATTACTTGTGTTTGCCAAAACTTATACATATTGCGAACGTTTGGGTGATATGCTTGTTTATGTTGGATTGCTTGGTTGAATGTTTTTGGTGATGGGATTTTCATGATTTCTCCATCTGAGTTTTAAATTGTAGGTTCTTTTAAACTGTGGTGTATTTGAATTTGACCACCTTAGTCTCTTAGATGGTCAAATTTGTTGTGATTATTTATAGAGTAGATGGACAAAGCCTTCTTTCTCGAAAGTCGTCTTGCATTCATATTTTTATTTATTTTAGTTTCTTCATTTAATTTAGCGCATTTGATTTTTTGCTTGATATTTTGGAATTTGGACTTGCAGTTACCATGACAAAGCTCACATCGACCACACTTACCGTATGTCTTATTAGAGAGACGATTATTTTGATTGTGACATAATCTGCCACATTTTACACATTGACCGACAATGTGCATGTTAACTTCTAAATTACTTTACAATGGTTTAGATAGATAGATTTCAGTAGAGGCGTAGAAAAAAACCCATTTTGAGAAAGTAGGAAATCATCGAAGGGTAAGTGTACTGTAAAGCGTGAATTGAGAACTATTCAGCTTTCTGGGTTTTTGACTCGTTACACGTAAACTACGCTAGATACACGACATATCTACGTATTTTCTGAAAAAAAACACAATAATAAACCATGTTATAAAGTATGAAAACTTGGTTACACTACTTTTTTTAGTCGTTTCAAAAATAGAATTGGAAAGATTTAGTCACATCCGAGCGAAATCCACGTATTTTATTTTTGGTTTTTTTTTTCGCTATTTAACAAAAAGTATTATTGCCCATTTCATGTCAATATTTGCTAACGGTTGCCTCTTGTGTTCACTTATCATTGTAAGGTAATTTTGGTGCGAAATCCGTATAGCGACGTAAGTAAGTTGTAGTAGTATTGTGCTCGCTCATATCCCTAGTCCTCCACCTTTAGAATCGTTATGAACTCCGCCGCTTCCTTTGGAACGGATCGCCGTACGGTATTCAGCCTTATAAAGTATTCGCTAAACACCTGCTATCTGTACACACAGGATGTGGTTGCTCGCTACCTTCGCTCCCTCTCAAAATCTGTATGAATCGGTATCCCAGATAACCATACTTTTCGGTTAGTACCTAAGAGACTTATGACTCGTGTAGAAGCCAGTTACCAACCGTGTCTGGTTCCTTTGTAATAGGTTGTATGTTATCCTGGAAAATTTGATAAATCTTTTAGCTTGCCGTTGTCCTGCACTTTGCTTCCCATACTTTGGTTTTTTCTGTGTTCACTCTTCATATGGCTTTTTGGTGCGCGGCAGAAACGTTCCGGATTGAACATAGCCCTGCGGCCTGAAAGTCTGGCTACGCAAAATAGGTGCACTTATTGTACTTTCGTAGCTCTGGACCCCGAATAAGCTAGAGGTTATTGTAAATCCTTGACTGTTGGAATGAACGCAGATGAATTTTCTCCTGCATTGCCTTTTTAGACTTTCTGATATACATGCAAGGTGCTTGCTCCAGAAGTATAGGCTTTTGAAAATTCAGGCGGCGTATATCAGCTCCGGTCTTGCCATTTTCCAACTTTAAATCATCGGAGTAATATTTTTGTGCAGATTCGGCCGTTCCGTCCATATTTCAAGCCGATATCTTCATTTTTGCGACCAGAAAAATGTGTATTAATTCAAGTTAGAATTTGATGCTGACCAAAAATATATGTTCTTTATGGTGTTGAGAAGATTTCTTTTGGGTAATGCAAACGTTTTGCAGAAATGAATAAACCCTTAGCCTTCGGTGGTATTTATAAAAATAAAAAGAAGAATGAAAAAATTTTAAACATTCTTTCGCAAAAATATATCCATAGATTCTTACGATACCCACTGAATGGCTGCATAACCGCTCGGATGCTTGAAAAAATTCGTGATCGGCAATTACATAATTTTATACAAATATTCCGAAAACTGAAATGATCACTTTAAGTTTTTAAATATAGTTATATTGTAGCGAGAGTAAATTGGCATGAACTATTCGTAAACTTGTTAAAAAATATTATATTATTTTTTATTAGATGCGAAATTATACTATTATAATATATTCGATGCGAAACTTTTGTTAGAAATGCAAATAAATAAAGGAATTTTAGCACTTATACAGTGTATGATGTACGTAGCGAAGGAAATCTACGAATAAAAACCTCCAATTAAAGTTAAATATCACGGACTCTCTTGTTAAAAGATTCATTTATACGAACTTGGTTGAATAAGCAAGAATACGATAGAATCTTTTTTTTAAACTTGAGCATTTTCGTTAGTAATGGGTCCAAATTTGTTCTTTCTTGCAACCTTTTAACAGAAATAGTAGATTCAGAAAAAAAGCTTTGGTTTAAATTAACTTCGAAATGCGAAAAGCCAAAAAATATAATTTTATAAATCAAACATTTATGCCCCACAGAATCAAAAAAGCCCTACATAAGATGCGGCCGCGTGCCAAAATTCTCGCCGCTCCAAAAAGTAACAAGATCCTTCATGTAAAGGAGTGGAAACTAATATATCGCATCAATTCCGACTCTTCTCAATAACGATCAAATAATATCCGACCCGCATGATAAAACAAATACGTTGGCTGGTATGTTTGCTTCAAATTTCAAATAATCACATGGCAATTAACCACTGTCACTGCTTGAAAAGGCTCTTGTCAATCTCAACATTCGCAAAGCTTCAGAGCTAGATGAAACTTGAGCCACAGTTCTAAGAAAGTCGCCTGAAACACTTGCCAGGCTTTTGAATAATCTTCTCAGCAAGCCCTACTATGCTGGCGTTTTTTCAACTTGCTGGAAGGTGCAACCCATACCCAAAAAAATGACCTGACAAATTCTCCAAGCTATCACCCAATTGCAAGCTGTTCCGCCAAAGCCAAAGCCATGGACATCATGGTCAACTGCTATTTAAAGAGATGTTTAAAATCCAACGATCCAATAAGTAACAGGGAAAATACTTACGCAAAAATTGGTACACTGATGACTTGGTGCTATCTTAACGAAAAGTGGAAGTTAGCTTTTGGCTACTTTGGCGAAGGTACGATGGTTGCCCTAGATATAAGATATGATGCTCTTGTCCCCAAATTAATTGCATACGTTGTCAGAGTTTTCGCTCGATTTAAATAGAGTTTTTTAAACAACCATTCGAAAAGTGTTAATCGCCGGGTAATCTTCAAGCGAATTTTATTTAAATGCAGGCGTACAAACAACAAACTGTTGTACATAACGGAGAACTCTATCTATTTGTTTGGGGGCGACAGCACCTTCTGATTTTGGTTTTCCTTAAGTAAGAAACCATGCAGCAACGAGATACAGAACAAACGCTGTATGATGAATGCCCTCCAAAACAGCAACCTCAAAAAATATCGAAATGCGGCTCAGGTGAATAGGATAGGCTTTGATGCCACCAGAATCCAAGATTGTCTCCTAGCAAAGGACGTTTTGGCGATGTCAATGTAGAAGAATTTCCAACACTTGATGTTGAGCGCATGAGAACACAGAACGATGTTCGTTGAACACAACAAGTGTTCGAAGTAACGAAAGACGTAGTCAAAGCCTTATCTTTCCGTAAGCAATGCAAAAAATACTTTAATGCAGCCGACATCCGTACAATTTAATCTTTTAAACACTTATTAATATATCGAAGCATTATCGAAGTAGCACCTGAATGGTCCTCCAATGAGCATATATATCACATTTACGTACATCACATCGGTACCGTTCAATAAACGTAAAGTATGCAAAGAACTCCACGAAATTTATAGCACAAGCCACATTTAGTTTTCTTAGGTTGGAAAAAGGAACTAGTTTAGGAAGAAATGATCTGGTAATTGTTTGACATACGTTACTTTTAATGGCATATTAAAATATTGTTACGGAAATCCCAAATCTAGGCATTTTCTACAACAAAATGTACATTCGCGAGGCGTCATGCAGCTGCAGACCGTTAAAAGCGATTAGCGGAAAAGCAGACAGGTGAAAACAAAGTGCATATTCGCAGGCGAGTCATGCAGCTGCACACCGATGAACGGTTACCAACAAAAGCAGGTTAACGAGTTAAAAATCAAGTCATAAAATTAGGTAATAGTAATATGATGGTAAAAATGTATATAAATAGAATATTTGTGAAAGACAGGAGAGTAGAAAAGGAATATTTGAGTTAAGCAGTCGAAAGTATTGCCAAAAATAATTTGTAAATAATTCTACATTAAAAGAAATATAATTGTAAATAAAAGAATTTTGAAGTGTACTTCTCTTGATCAAAACATCTGCGATCTAGTGATACGGATGTTATCTTATAAAAGCGAATTTCATAACAATATATATATATATATATACATATATTTCTTATTAATTACTTCGTGAAAGTGAGGATTGATGTCAGTTGTTTTTTTAAAAAAAGTCTGCAAATGTTCGTAAAACTTAATTTAGCTTAAAAAATTATTTTCACACAAAGCATTGGTCTGTGAAGATTAATTGAAAATATATGCATCATGTCATCGCTTGATCCTAAGTAATGCGATTGCGAGAATTCAAGCAGATTATAGTGGCGAATAGAGAGTAGTCAGAAATAATGTTTAAGATTTTATATTTGTCCCGGCTTAACATATTTAATATCTATATTCAAATATGCGAGTGAATTGGTGAAAATTGGCGATAAATTCAAAGACAGCACAAACGAAAGTTCATATTGATTGTCAATTTCTTATATTATTAACCTTTTAGTGCTATTTCATTTTATTAATACAAATTATTTTATTCTCTTCTGCAGCCACCTTCACATATATCTGCAGCATACAAGCACTACGAATAAGAAGTTACCCGGTAAAGCAAGAAAAAGATTTTTTAAATGATACCACCGATTATTTCGAGCAGTTGGTGCATACATTGTATGATGCTTTTGATCGTATGGTCATGCAATCAGATTTCCGGGATGTGTGTAATGGAATTCAACTAGCAAATTTTTCAGTAAATAAAATTCCCGAAAACAAAGAAACGACTTTAGCTTACGACAACCTTACGGTAAATTTTTTGTTCCAGGTAAATTCAACGTTTGTTTTTTTCATTTTTAAGAAGTAAAGGCAACTTTTTCTTCCAGCTCTCTAAAAATAGCAATGAGAAACGTTTGCAGGAGGTTTTTAAAAAACAGTTGCGTTTAAGCAATTACAGTATTGGCGGCACAGATCTATACATTAGCGGCGCAGATTCACTGATTATAATGGGTAAGTAGCACTTTTAACTCGACCACTTTATTTGTCTGTCAATTATTTCTATAGCATATCCTGAGTATAACAGGATGGTTGTTCGACACTAATATGACTCTTCTCACACTGCAATGAAACTGCAACCGCAGTTGTCATGCGATGTGTAAGCTATGCCAAAGTATGCGTCACATGGGCAGTAGCTTTGCATTGGTGCAAGAATCCTGCGTGTCCGGACGGAGACTTAGAGGCTTTCCCATTGACATGCGGGCATTTCTTGACTGTAATAGCCATTTTGCTGTCCATGTGAATGATGTGAATGTGGAAACCACACTTTTCTTAGAAGTAATCATGGCGTCCGCTTGTCCGTTGAAGGGCCACATGAGAGGTTGCTTCTTGCTAGCGTTTATTGTAAATTTAGTCAAGAACTGGATGGTTATTCCAGGTATATGGATTCAGTGTTACTACTTGATAGTGGAACCCCATTGATCCTGGCACTACATGTAAACGCTTGCACACCCTTACGGTTTAGCAAGACGCCGGAACGGGCTTGGGGCTTATGCAACCAAATAAGAGGTGATGTGTTTTCCGAATGATACACAACGAGAAGACTCCAGTTGTCGAATTATATGAATGGTTCATTTAACAATTGATGTGGGAAGAGGTTGTCCGCAAGGATATCTGCGGTCGATCTATTTGAAATGGATTGACGGATCTCTTTTCAAGGCAGCTAGAAGGCATTTCTGGGGAAGAAAAATGCATACTGGACTTTCCTGTATATGCGGATGTTTTGCTTATCTTGGTTTAAGCTTTGCTCATTTTTCTCTCCCAGCGTATCGTTTCCGTTAATAAACGAAGGTGGACGAGATAGGACTCCTGCGCCCAGTGAGAATACCATGACCACGTCTATTGTGTTGACAGTTTCATCTGCAGGCTTTATCTTCCACCCAGCCTCAGGTTATATGGCATCGGAAGCGTAGTCTGGTCAAAGGCTTTTATTATACTTCTTTCAGTAACTATTGTCTCCTATATTGTGATACCATGAATGTAAGAAGTCTCCCAAACAATCTTCCGACTACGACTTGATAGCGAGAATGACCCAACGAGGGAATTTCATGGTGGCTGTAGTTGTTCCCAAAATCGAGGGAAGATTAAATATTCCAGGTGTTAGATAGGCCTTGCCCCTATCAGAGGGAAGGACATGCCATACACATGTCCTTATTCTGAATATGTAGGATAGATTTGCCTCCTGTAAGGTATGAGTGTGTTTCGTCATTCGTGTATCACCGGACACCGTGGGGTTGAGCTCATACGGCATTTACCTAAGTAAACCCTTGTGACATCTGTCTGATGAATCACAAATTTTCATCGTGCTGAAAAAAACTATTTAATTTAGCGCAATGTAATGTCTAAAAAATATTAATTGGTCAAATGAAATATTTGAGTTATTGATTTCTCGGAATATAATTTGCACAACGCGTAAGTTACGGCTACGTGAGATACAGGCTCAGAAAAAAGGTAATTAGAATGACGAAGCACGCTCCTTTGAAATTAGAGTAATTCTTATTTATCTAAAATCCTCTACGACAAAAAAACACAAAACACTAGCTTATGACGGAAATGCGTTCTTTGCAGAGCATATATCGATTACCTTTAAAACATTAAAATATTAATAATTCTGCTTAATTTAGATCACTAAAAATGAATGTGCAAAATATTGCATTTAATCAAATTAAAAAAAAAAACTGCGCAAACCATAGACATACTATAGTATGGCACCCAGTAAATGCAGTATTCAGTCGCAGATTGTTGCAACATATCCTTCTACTCACAAACGTTGATCACATCGTCGCAAGCGAGATTAAAAAAGTCCGCATTAAAATAGAAGTTAAACAAAATGGCTTAAACCGGTGACGGATTTGACAGCACATTAAAAATGAAGAACCTGTTTGCTCATTGAAATTGATCAATTTAAATATGACCATTTCCATTAGTATACTCTTCGATCATGTCAAGTGTACAGAAAATAATTACTTCATTTTATTGAACCAAGCATCAACTTCAGATCTTACAGTATATTTGTAGATGATTTCTAAGTGTAAAATTTAATGAAATTCACTTTCCAAAGACTTATAAAGACTATTAATAAAAAAAAGCATAGTTTTTGTGGGCAAATTTGGTTATGTTCCTATGTATTGCGAGGACGTTTTCGTCACTTTCCTCAAGGCTGGGCAGCTCAGCGGCCCAGGCAATTGGGAAAGGAAACCACAAGAAATTTATATTTCTGCAGGGACTCTTTATTTGATAACCTTTGCTTTCGGTTACACTCGACTTCATTCACGACCGAACTGCGCTTATCGAGGGTCCGGCGTCGACTCCTCAACTAAACTAAAGGTACCCTATTCTACTCCTATTCTATTTTTAATCTATTACTATCCTATCTTAATCTATTCTTACCCCATATTAGTCTACTCCTATCCTCTCTTAACCTATTCTTATCCTATATCTATCCTATTCTTACGCTATGCCTATCCTATCTTATGCTATCTTACTTCCCAGCACTCCTCTCTCTCCAGCCAGAGACGGAGAACCCGTGAGGCCAAAACGAGGGAAGATTTTGGGTCCTCACAGTACATTTACAGACAACTTGCCTCAAAGATCCGTCATCTGACTTACTTAATGCTTCGTTACTCTTGCGAGTCCCGCATCTCAACTGATTCTTTTAATGATTTAGTGACTGAAAATAAAATTACCATCATTTTAAATAAATACTTTATCGCACAGTTACTGATACATACTTTTTTCCACTTTTAGACATGTCTCATATTGCAATCATACTGCCAAAACTTGCAGTCGATTTTTTCAATAAATTCTTCATTTGTTATGGGTTTGTTCACTTTATTTCTCTTTTTATTCCTAGATGACTTTCGACGAACGTCAAATAATAATTCCATTGCTCGTGGGTCCTCCTTTGGCAGTTGTTTTTACGATTTAACCCCACGCAAAATAATAGATCAATAATTTGCCTTCAATTTGTTCCATTTTACAACGCCGTATTTTTTCTTTTTGACAATTCAATTTGTGACTTTCATAATCTTGATGATGTATAATACAACCATATGATTCGCAAACTATTTTAAGTTGCCTGGGTATTTTTTTGAACAAGCATAGTCTGACCAAACTAAAGCCGATATTGGTAACTATTGCTATTGAAAATTATAATATTTTTTCTAATATAAAATTCTCATTTTCTGCAGTTTTTAACCGTCTCTGTGACCTAAGATTTTCTTTCATTTCTTTTCTTTCTACCCCCATGCGTTTTTGTCAATTGTACGAATATTTTTGTTAATTCAATTACGGATAGGGTGTAATTCGTTTCTATCTAGCGGCGCTGCTTCTGAAATGTGGAAGTGTAATTATGATTACAAAAGCCTGGCAGTAGGCAATCAGTTGAGAGCTACAGATGTGTTGCGAATCTCGCTTTTATACCAAAACTTTTGAAAAACTTGTAACAAGTAGATTTGTTAACCGTATAAAATCAATTGTCTCATCGCACCAGCATAGTTTTGTGGATGGTAAATTCACTGTCACTAATCTCCTGCAATTCGCCAGTTTTATCTTTAATTCACTTAAAACTAGCAGCCAGACATTGTTCCTACGGACCCTACAAAAGCAGGTCTGGCAAAATGGTTCACTTCGTATTTTATGGATGACACACAAAGAATTTGATATAAATCGCATCTTTCTAGCTCCATTCTTCTTCTGTCTACTTATAAATTATTTCCCTAATATGATTCACCATTCGAGTTTGCTAATATACGTAACCGTTTTCTTTATTGCTTACACAATTTCGAAAGTTTCTATCGCCTTAAAACTGATTTACTTCTGTTAACTGAATGGTGTAAGGCAAATCAAACGGCATTATATATAGATAAGTAAGAAAATTATATTAGATAGTGACCGAATCTTTTATCGCCGTCATCGAAATCTTCCAAAAAACGAAAAGAACAAAGCTTTGCAAAAATGTATACGGTGTATGTGTCGTACTTTATGAGTAGCAAGCGAAAACACTGAAAGCAAACGTGTTCAGAGTTTTCATTACACAGAATGTGTAGGTGCGCCCTTTGAGAAACGTTGATCATTTTCAAATTCTTTTACATATTTGTAGGCAATGTCTTCATTTTTGGGAACGGGAGAATTTTTACCACAGATACTACACAGTTACGCAGGTGGGCAGATGAAAAGACAGACATGCCTAGGTATGTTTCGAATTTGAAAGAAAAATTTATATATTTCATGGGGTTTTTGTAGCTTGTGTGCATTCTAAAGGCTTTGAAAAAAAATTTGAAGAATGATGCACTATAAAATTGGATAGGCTTGGCCGATTTTGCCCATATATGTAAAGTTACTAGAGCATGGCCCGCAGAATATATGTTATATTTTTAAGATTTATACTTTAGTTTATGAGAAATAAGCAGACAACCATTTTTTCATTTCTTTTAGAAGCAAAGATACTCCTTACTTTACGTAGTACTGTAGATATCCTTCGGCTATTTTCAATACCAGCCTGCGTGAGGTCAGAAGAATTTTTATATCTGATTCTAAGCAATCGGACAGATGGAAATACAGAATTTGACGCTGATCAAAAATATGTATACTTTGTGGGGTTTCTGAAGGGACCGGCTGGGCTTTACAAACGTTTTGACAAAATGAATATACTCCTCATTCTTCAGTGATAGGTATAAAAGAATGTAACTTTACTTCTTTCAGTAAAAGTGTCTTTGAGACCTGAAATCGGCAATGCCATATCAAACATTCTGCCCATCTTGGCAAAGTGCGCTGAAGTGCATCTGTGTGCATATACCGTCTCAGTTTACAAAAATTATAAAAGTACGGCCATGTTTTGTTCTTCAAGAATATCCATGAACGTCTAATTTTCGAGTACATTTTTTGTGAACGAATATTTATTGTACAATATAATAGGGTAGCCAACGTTTCATTTTGTATAACATTACCATAGA